ACTGCAACCTCCACCTCCCAGGTTCAAGTGATTCCCCTGCCTCAGCCTCCTGAGTAGCTGGGATTACAAGCACATATCACCACACCCAGCTTAACTTTGAATTTTTAGTAGAGACGGGGATTCCCCGTGTTGGCCAGGCTGGTATCAAACTTCTGACCTCTGGTGATCCACCCATCTGGGCCTCCCAAACTGCTGGGATTACAGGCGTGAGCCACCAGCCACCCCTTTCTTGTGACAGGGCTTCCTGTTCTGGCTGCTTTCACCTACTGCTGCGTGTATCCATGGCTGCTCCTTAATATTGATGCCAGTAATTATTATCATTATTTTCAGAGACAGGAGCTTGCTATGTTGCCCAGGCTTAAGTGCATTGGTGTGACCTTGGCTCAAAATAGCGTTGGCCTCCCGGGCCCAAGTGACCCTTCCACCCAAGCCTCCCAAGTAGCTGAGACTACAGGCATACACCACCATGCCTGAGTCATTTAAAAAACTTTTTTTGTAAAGAGAGAATCTCGCTATGTTTTCCAGGCCGGTCTTGAACTCCTGGGCTCAAGCAATCCTCCCTCCTTGGCCTCCCAAAGTGCTGCGATTATAGGCATGAGCCATGGCACCTGGCATGTTATTTTTAATACATAATGTTAATGCTTACTATTATAAACAAATGTGTGTTCATTGTAAAAAACAAATTGAGTTATTGTGGAAGCTGAAAGGAGACAGCTCTGAGTTTACATTGATAAGACAGGGGGACCAACTCGGCTTTATTTGCCTGGGATGGTCCCAGAGTGAAACAGGAAGTCCTGCATCCTGGGAAACCTCTCAGTCCTGCACAAACCGGGATGGTTGGTCACCCTACAGAATAGCTGGAAGACCCCTGAGGGGACTAATTTCCAATCATTAATGCTATGGGGGTCTCAGAGTATCAGGTTTTGGGCTTTGCAGATAAATATACCCGTTTACAGCACTGGATGGTGGAGTCTGGGCCACACACAGATACACAAAAATAAAATCACCATTTCTATGGAACTCACTCTTTTTTTTT